TTTGCTCAATATACAATTTCATACTTCTTTAAATCTATATCGATAAAGACGACCTGACCCTTCAACATAATTAATCCATGTTTATTTCTTCCATAGTTTAGATGCACTTAAACTCCCTGTTAGCAAATAATCTTAGTTAACTTAACAACAAACTGTTTAAGCTAACAACCTTTCATCAGATGAATCCATAAAGCTAAATCAATGTGATGTTTCAAAAGATTTTACTACAATAACTTGATTTCACTAATTTACCCCCAGGCTCTGATATTATTCACATACTGTTGGTAACAAATAAACATCACCTCCCAAAAAATTTCCAGTATCCCAAATACTACCGGTATCACGCCAGTGATAAATCAACCAAAAGCCCTAACCCTAACCCTAATCCTAACTAATCTCAATTATACTAGCCAATCAGAGCCAGAGGGGTAAATTAGTAAACCCCCAGTAACTTTAGGTCATTAAGTAAACACATGACAATGATTTATTAGACATCTTTTTTGCACTTTAGTTCTTATATATATATAAGTATTAAAAGCTAGTAATGAAGAAAAAGAAAAAAAAAATATTTCCATTTGATTTATGTATAAATTCACAACATAAAGTATAGATATTTTCAAATTCGTGAAATATGAGTGAATAATTGAAGTTATATATGTGCTTACTTATTCAATTAAATTTCTTTTTGTTTCACACTCCAGAAGTTTAAACTCATCTGTGTTGCTTACATCGTAAATTATTAGAAAATCATATTTCTAGAACTCTAATCGAATCCGAGACCCGAATTAAATCAGCCAACTCGTCCATATTTTTGCATGACGCAGGTGATCGAATTGATCGAATTATTCTAAAAAAGAAATTTAAAATATGCAAACTACTTTTTTTGGTTTATGTTACGTTAAACAATGACGAAGATATTGACCTCCTTTGAAAATTATACTACTCAAAAACGAAAAGCTTGCATAGTGAACTATTTACCAAAGTGCTTTCTGAAGAAAATTAGTCTTCTATTGATTAAAATATGTAAAAACTCCTCGAAAATTTAAATGCTTTAGCTACCCGTAATTATTTCTAAATTAGTTAGAGCTGAATATTTATACCGTTATATACTTTTTTTTTTAAAATAAATTTTAGAAATAAAACTTGTTAGTGATAATTATCATATTTAAATCATAATTATACATTAAAATTCTGAATATAGAAATTCGTTAAAGTGAGGTTCAACTGTATCTATTTAACTAGACGAATACATGAGCTAATATACATTAAATATCGATCAGCCAATCACGATTGGTTCCTTTCAGTAGAATTTATTGAATTATAATAATCTGAAATCGATGTATATTAACTAATACTTTATTTTATTAAAACAACAAATAATCCAGTAGAGCGAGTGTAGTTGAACTAGTTGCAGCTAGGGTTCGGAATCGAAGTCGGAAAATTGCCAAAGTCGAAAGTTGATTGTAATAACGATTTTGAATCTCAAACTCGATTTCATTAGTCCGATTAATCGGCAAAAGCAGTACACAAAAATTTCTACTAGACAACAGTTACAGTATTTAGAGCATGAATTAACTCAGAATTCAGAAATTCATTTTAGTGTATCAAGTCTCTTAAATAATTAAAAAATAAATCAAATAAATTTAGTTTTGAGTGGGCATTCTAATATTTTGTTAATAGTAACATTGAAAAAAAAAGTTTTAAATCGAAAAGTAAAAAAAAAACAACAAGAATGTCACGTGATAGACACATCTTGTGAAACAGAATTTTTTAATGAATTTTGATTTTGATTTTGATTTTGATTTTGATTTTTTAATAAATTAATATTATAAATGAAGCTCTATAATATAAATTAATAAAATTATTACAACTGCTCTATGCTTAAAAAAAAATTAACACCGTTTTGTCGATTTTTTATTTTCAAAACTGGAATCGAAAATCGTTTTTAGTTTCCGATTAATCGTTAAAAAATCGATTTTTGCCGATTCGATTTTGATTTTTGAAACGATTTAATCCCTAGTTGCAGCCAAAAGATGATGTCTTAAAGTAAATACAATTCGTGTATTAGAATTAAATTTTCGATGTATGAACCTGGCGTTATTAAAGAAATTTTTATAAAAAAATAATACACAGTAAATAATTTCAATATTATCGTTATATAATAAATATTTCAAAATTACCCGATAGAAAATACTCTTATCGAAATTTGTTCTCGGCATTAATATAATCTGTAAAGTCGGGCTGTTCCAAGTTAAACTACATCGGGTCAGGTTAGGTTCTGGTTATGTAAATGTTGACCCGATGTTTTTAACAAGACTCGAGTCGGGTTCGAGTTTCTTTGAAACCCGACCCGACCCGACCCGACCCTTCGGAGCACTACTAATTCCATCAGGCTTTAAAGTGCTCGATTTCATTGTTGTAGTTACACAAAATTGACAAATAAGGTTTTAACAAAAAAATTTTAAAAAGGGCTGTCAAGTAGAAATGGTTTGTTAGTGTTAGCACTACAAGGTTAATATAAACGCTCCAGATTATTGCATATAAATCTTAATTTTAGTAAAAAAAATTCTCAGAACCTGATTATCTTATCAATCTTGGCTACCCGAGAAAATTCTTCGTGTATATATAACGAAAAGACTTTATTTTTAATCCCGGGTTTATTTTTCTTTATTTTTCCCCACATGATAAAATGATCTAAAAAGTTTTGGCAATTTTTTAAAAGATACAATAGATTCATTTTTGAAATTGTCCTTTTAAAATTTACTATTATTAATGATAGTTATACAATCAACACAATTGTATATTTTGATCATGTGCAACCCAAATAAGGTGGTTCTAAAGATTCTCAAGTCGTGTAACAATCAATTTAAATGAAAATGGTACGAATTTTATTGTTAATCTATTTATAGCTCTTTAAAAATTTTTTGCATGGTGCATTAAAATTCTCAATGTTTGTGATTTTTGTGATTTCAATGTGCTACAAAAAGATTTTAAACGAAGATAATGGCTAAAATTATTTCCGCTTAAACAAACGTATTAAATTATCTTGCCGCATTTCTTATTCCAATTCATACAAGAAGAATCGTTTTCAGGATTATCTCATTTAAACAGGAATTTAAAGCAGTTAAAAACAAAAAAAATTTGAATTTCAATCTAATGAAGAAAAATATGATTATTAGTTAGTCTGACGAAGTTAAATATCGTAATATAGATTATTGATGAAAACAAAGTTAATATTGAATTGGTCAAATTTAAAGAAGATAATTATGAAAAATTCATGAAATGTATAACGATAAGCATGGAGAATGTTTGAATTATTGCAGTTTATATTAAAATTTAATTGTTTATCATATATATTTCTTTTGTTAAACAAATAAATTTTCTCAAGCTCAATCAAAATTAGCGAGGTCAAGGTACAAGATTCTTTAAGGATCAAGGACAAAATATCAACTATATCCGACGCTCTGTAATAGCCTCAGGAGAAGGTAAGAGGAACGAAATTTTATATTAGTTTTATAATCTAAAAGTCCCGTAATATTACTTCATAAATTAATTAATTTGGCACCGGATCAAGTCGAACTGACGTTTTGAAAGATCGTCATGGCGTTAAATTTCGTACGACTCATTCTTTCTAGAAAATTCATTTCATCATTTCAAAATTTTAATAACTTCAAAGTTGCTAACTTACACATCCATTTTATATATCGTGAATTATTTTGTTAATATGATTAGAAATAAGTATTAAATTCAATAAGTACTAAACTGACATTATTTTCTTATTTTATTTTGGTCATTTTTTCTAAACTTTTAATCCTTTATAAAAATAAATTCTATTACGATATTATTTAAATCATAACATAAGGTAAACCATTACTGAACTCTCGGCGTTTGTAATAATAGTCTCAAGAAAATAATAAAAAACAATAACTAAATCTAAGCCTAAATATATGGGAGGTGAAAATTTGCTAATTTAATTTTGTGCACATGACTGAGATCAAGTGTATACCAAACTTCCTTTACAAACTTACTGTATAAAAAATTCTGTTGTGAAACAATTAGTTATGATCTCTCCTGATTACACGAAAACCGGACGATTTTGCAGATCGATTTATTAAGGTATATTTTTATTTTTATTTTTTATTACTGTAAGAACGCTTTGACGACGTGACGAATGCAAAATCAATCACATTACCAGTTTTGCTCCTCCCTGTTGAACGCACACATTCAAAGAAACTTGTAGAGTTATAATATAATTTTATTGTCAAAATTAATTTGGATTCCAATGTTTGTATTTCTGTCACTGATACATAACTTGATTTTTAATTAACTTTATTTATAATAAAAAAAATTGAATAAAATATTCATACGTATATCAGTTTAAAATAAATAATTTTGACGTAATTCGTGTATAAATAAATTAAAACTCAATTGCACCAGCATTTTCTTATACTCTTGATTGTTAGGATCTTCTAAAAAGTTATGTTTGGGATAAGTTCCAACTTGAGGAATGCTAGTTGATCCGTTACCAAAACAAGGATCCATAGTACTGAAAGTAGAATTTTCAATCGTAGAATATCCACTTGATGAATGTTGCGTATGGATCATATTCTCAACGTCTCTAGTTTGATTATTATAGGAAATATCCGAATCTGCTTCAAAAGTTACACCCATCGCATGTAAAGGCGAAACATTCCCACATCCTTGATAATTTTCAACTTCATTCATATGTTTATCGAATACGATTTGAATAGTTTTTTGACTATACAGAGTTCTTGCTTTCTCAGTTAGATTTTTGTAAAATTTTTTTACGTCTTCTGGTTCTTCATCCCAAGAAGCTTTTGCGATTTTTGATAACTGACTCATTAGAGGTAACTTGATGTTTTTATTATGATACTCCTTTTGTAATGCCATTCTATACGCGATAAAAGCGTTCGGAAGTGTTTTAACCTTGTTGTTAGGTGCGTTGGATTTAATAGCATTCTTAATAAGTTCATCTGTTGTTAATATAGGAGGGAATTTAGGCTTGATATCAGTGTGGACATTATTGGAACTGATAATATTATTTCTTACATTCGACACTGAATTGTTTATTTCGTTTCTTATAAACGGATATATACGCTCAATATTTGTTTGCTTTGTTTTAGGCATAATTTTTATTTATTTTATAAAATAAGGGATAATGTATACAATATTTGTTCTTTAATTTTTTAATTATATTAAAATGTTCCATTTTTTATCTAGTTATATAAATAATTAATTTTGACAACGTGACGTTATTGTGATACTGCAGATACTGAATGAAAAGTTGCCGGTTGTAATTGTAATAATTTGTGTCAAAAAAAAAAATCACTACCAATTTTGGAAATACCATTTTTAGCTAGTCAATAAAGTTTTTGTATAATTATTTCCCAACTTAAATTTATTATCATAGATAATTTTTGTCTGTTCTGCAAGTTTACCTTTAACGCCAAGAAAGGTTTTAAATATCAGTTTATTATTATTTGCAATTTATTTAATTTAATTTACCCACTTTCACTTTTAGTAATATTATATTCGTTGCTAAAATACTAAATTATACAAAATCTGTATTTTTTAATTTTTCAATACAATTTTAGTACAATTTTATATATTTCAAATTTCAAATTTTTTTCTGTACGATTATTTTTGTATGAAAAATTGAAATAACTACACAAAACTTGTATAATTTCAGTATGCTATTCTTCAAGAATATTCTTAAAAGATTAAATATATAACCTATATCAAGCTTTACCATATGGGGTGGGTGAGTGCTGGGAAAAGAGACCAAATCGACAAAAATTTTTTTTTGAAATAAAAAATGATCTGAATCAGATGACCAAATCTACATCTATTTTACTTAGCAACATTTTTTTAAAAAAAAAATCAATTTGGTCCATTTTCCCAGCACCCACCCCATATTGTCATGCTTTTGTTTGCAGTAGTTCTATAATAAATTACTCTAAAATTTAATACATTCTTCCCGATCGTTAAGATTTGAAAAATTCGCTGCTGTTAATAAAATTTTAGGTAAATTAATAACTTATTTATAATAAATAAGATGGATTCTGAAAGTTTGACCCCGAATATGATCAACTTTTTCAACTTGGAGCAATCCGGTAAAAATTTTCTCCAATTATATCAATTTTTATTTTATTTTACTTTTTTTTTGCTTTAATAATTTTAAATTGTTGCTTTTTTTTCTAGAAACTGATTGTCGTAGTTTCAAACGAATTCCTAAATAACAAGTGAATTTATGGGAATTTCTAAAAACGTTAAAAGTAATAATTTGTTAAGCTTAGATATTTTGTATTATTAATTAATATTTGGATTAACGGTATATCTATTTTCCTAATTATTTTATAACATTTCGAAACTAATTGACAATTTTTTATTTTAGTAAACAAACTTAATCATTAAATTAAATTTATATCATTTTAGGAAGAAAGTAAAAGCGAAATAAACGAGATCGTTATGATTTTGGAAAAAAGCAGTTCAAATTTTTATTAATCATTAATTTAAATTATTTTCTGATATCGTAGAATTTTTTCGAAAGTACGTAATTTTGCTCACCTAAATTATTGCTCGGTCTTGAGCAGTTTGTTTATTACACATTTTTATTTTGTAATTTTAATTTAGCAGACATATGCTTTTATAATGTCGAAGGTTTTTGAATGCGAAAGTGATATGGGTTATGTAATCACCTAGGATAAATTGATTATGACATAATCAATTAAACTAAAATTGTTCAACAAAAAATATATTGATTATTTTAGGAAGTTTAAGCTAATCAAATTATTAAAGTATAATTTCTGAAAAAATTGTATTACAACAAAATATAATCGCATTAATCTTTTATGATATTAGATGATGAGGTAAAATTTAATTTTTCTTTGATTAAAGCTAGTAATTTTTAAGGCCTTAAAGTAATTATCTTAAAAAAAAGACAAAAGTGCCAAAACAAAATTTCGATATAAATCGACTTCTCGTCATTCAATTTAATAATTAACATAATGGTTATAGCATAGTGGTTTCAGGCTTTTTGAGATTTATTATTTCTAATAAATCAATAGTTGAACAAAGGCGATCATAATTATGCATGTATGGCATACAACATTTACCACACTTGTCAATGTTTCACATATATTTTTTTTTGTTCCTAAAACAGAAAGCTCTAAAGATATATTATTTTTTGGATAGTAAGAATATAGGCGTTTTAACAAAAAAAATAAATAAAAATTAAGCGCCCATATGCATCCAATTTTTAAAATGAATTTTGGATAGTGTATTTTTATAAAGAAGACTTTTCAAAAAAATGTAACGTAACTTAAGATTTAATTTGATGTGTACAAAAAGTTAATAATCGTTTCTTAATAAGGACATATGTATATATTTAAAAAATTTTCTGGAAAGCCAATTTATATTTGGGCGTAAACTATAGTGAGTACGAAATATTCAAGCAAATAATTAATCTTGCAAAATATTTAATATTTCAAAATCTAGAAAAATTTTAGAATAAATAGAAATTTTAATAAAAATTTTCTTTAACACGAAATTTCAATCTTTTCAATATAAGAAATTCCATTGCAATTTATTGTGGAAATTAAATATAAAAATTATTGAAACTGAGATTGTATCCTCAGATAAATTCTTTTGAAATAATTTTCGGCATGACCTTTTTATTTGAATAAATATTATGACTGAATGATTCTTTGAATTAATGAATTATCACAGTTACAAACTTCAATAAAAATATGTAATATAATCTTAAAAAAGAAAAAAAAATTTCCTAATATGGGTCATGGACTAGCAAAATTCCCCTCCGAGCCTTTTGCCAAAAATTTTTTTTTTTATGATTTTATAAAAGCTGAATATTCTTAACTATGTGATAATCTAATTTTTTGAACATAAACGTATAATAAATTATCGAAATATTCATATAAAACTTTCTTTTTTCAAAAAAGATCGACAATCTAAAATTGGAATAATATGCATTTTTTAATGTTTGAGACATAAAATATAAAAATTTGTATCACATTACATATAAATTGATCAATAATTTACCGGAGGGGCATTTTGCTAATCCATGACCCATATAAAAACTTCAGTATATTGTGTAACATAATTTTTAATTATTACACTTAATCTTGTCTACAATTCTTCCAAACAAGAAAATTTAACTTATATAAATATTTAAGAGAAAGGTTCATTCAATTTTAAATGAAATCAAACCAATTACTTTTCAAACCAAAACGGATCGTAAATTAATAAGCTAAAAATATTTTTTAATTAATAATAACCAAAATATATAACAACACCTTTAATATTAATTTGTACGCGACTGAGAATGTTTCGGTCATATCAAGTTATTGAATACTACTTGCTGAAATGAAATTAGAAAATTCAATATGTTTCGAATTAAGTTTCTACAATAACGATAACGATAAGTTCATCGACTCAAAACATCTTTTCAAAATCAACTTACATTATTGTAATATTACACAGAAATGTCAATTATACTTTTTTTATGGATCAGAAAACAAATATTATTATTGCCAATACCTATAAACTATATTTATTGATATTAATGTTGAATTACCCTTCTTCTTTAATAAAAATTGATCTATCTAAAAATAACTTCTCCTTAACTCTTTTTTCAATAAACCATATGTTCTTCCAAGTGTTTTTATCTCTATTTGAATAGCATTTTTCTAGAAGATATTACTGCTGCTTATATTTTAATGGACAAGATAATAGAAAACTCAAAAAACGTTTTTACTGGTCACAAATGTTTGAGGATATTTGAAAATACATATAATCCTGTGACAATTATCAAATGAGAAGAAAAGCCTTCAGAATCAAGCTTCTGTATCAGATTCCAGTATAATAACCATTCTATCATATAAGAATAGATTATGTAGAACCTTTGCCATCATCAAGTAAAGGAAAAAAATACATTATAGTTACAATAGATTATTTGACCAAATGGTCAAAAGCTAAACCTATAAGAAAAATAAAATCAACAATTAAGTTTGTCTAAAGATATTATTTGTAAATATAGATGCCCTGAAAAAATTCTTACAAATCTAGGTACACATTTCAATAGTCAACTACTTAATGAACTTTTACAAAATTTTGAAATATCATATTGGATGTCTATACAATATTATCTACAAACAAATGGATTAATTGAAAGATTAATAGAACTTTAATAGAAGCTTTTGCATTAAAAGATATTATGCAATACTTTTTTCAAAAAATATCATTAATTCATATATAGTATTAAAACTTATTCATTTTCTTTATATTCTTTTAAATCTAATTTAATTGAATTATATACAGATTAATGTTAAATTAAATCATAGATAAAGTCCAAAAAAAAATATTACTATTAACTATATGTATTTTTTTAGGACTAAAATTATGATAATTCCTATCAATTATTATAAAAGGTAATAAATATCTGATCAAAATTATAGAAATTATTTAAAAAGAAATGATTTACATGATTATTTTACATTCATACCTATTTTAGTATTATTTAGGTCTTGTTACGAATTGCTATAATAATAATAAAATCAAAAAAATTGTTGTATTAATATTTCAAAACATGGTTTTAATAGTTCAATTTTAATGGTAAAGTCCAAATTAATATTACAATGGTAAAATATTAAGTATTATAAAATTTATGTAATAATACTTTAGAGTGTGACTTTATAAATTTATAAAATTAATGTAACAATTTTTGAAGCGTAATTTAATAGCAAAATTTTAGATTTTTTATAATTATATTTTTTTTAAAATAATTATTATAATAAGATGTTACTGAATTTTAGAATTATAATTTAAAAAATAATTTTATAAATAAAAATAAAATTAAAAATTATATTAATAAAAAATAAAAAATAATTGTTAATTATAAAATTTTATTATAATTATATTATATATATATTAATAAAAAAAATTATTTATGTATTTTATTACTAAAAATGTAATTATTTTATTAACATGTATTTAAATTTAGATTTATTTGAAATTTAATTTCAGATAACTTAATTTCAGGTGATGACATAACTGAAATTCATATTCTAATTTTAGATGTTCTAATTTTAGACAGTCTCGTGACTAAAATTCAGATTTTATTTGAAACAGTTTCGTGGTTGAAATTCAGACTGCTTGAACTTTCCTACTTAATACAGTGATAGCATTGTGTAGTGTACGCCTACAATTAGATTTCGTTTTCCCGAATATTTTTAAATACGATATATACAATACATGCTTGATTAAGAAACGATTATATTTTGTTAACACCAAATTGGAAAATCCAGACTTACGTTTTATACAATCTACGTTATCCAATCATTTTAAAAATTAGATGCATAGCATATGGGCGCTTTATTATTATTATTTTTTTATTGTCTTTACAATTCAAAAAAGTATTTGAATCCGTTTAGAGCCTTCTGTTTTGGTTCAAAAATATATGTGAATCACTATGTTCGTAGTTATGATATTTTCTGTGAATTACTGTGGCTGATCAAGACTTTTAAAGTTTAGAAATTCACAAAAGATTAGCTTAGTTTTAGGGCATTCGCTATTCGTTTGAAACTGATATTCAGTTTTCTATGAAAAATAAAATATATATAATAACAATATTGTAACAATATTAAAATTATTTAAGCAAAAAATAAATTAAATTAAAATATAAAACAAAAATAATTTATATTAGGATTGTGCGAATTTGGAGTGCAAAGTAGAGCTTTTAATAATCTTTTTTTCATGCGATAGGAGTTGAATACCCACTTTTAAAATTAGTTTTCGTACTAGACAAAGTATATAAAAATTCCTATTCATTAAATTGAAAAAATTTAATATAGTTGTACTTGCAATCTAGTCGTTAAGTCCAAAAAATGGCAATTTGGCAAAACGGTATAGTTTATTCTTGAGGAGAAGCATTGTAATTTTAACATTTTTTATTCTGGGAGTAATTAAAATTAAATATACATGTTTAATGTCAAGCCGGGCAAATTACCTGTCCGCGCATTTTTTGAAAGATGAATCATTTTCACATTTTCATAACTTTATGGTGAAAAGCCGTAACCAATTAAAGTAATGATCTGCTCATCGATTTAGTAATAAAACACGCATCGATAAAAAAAAATCTCACTTTCCATGTTGATCGGCACAACGCATCATTTTTCTATAACCAGTTATTTTCCATGACATTATACTGTTGATCGGCACAACCCAATAAAAAACCTCATTTTTCACTTTCCATGAACACATTAAAAAAATTCATACTGTTGATCGGCACAACGCATTAAAAAATCTCATTTTTCTATAACCACTTACTTTCCATGACATTATCACTTTATTATACTGTTGATCGGCACAAACCAATAAAAAATCTCATTTTTCACTTTCCATGAACACATTAAAAAAATTCGGCACAACAACATTAAAAAAATCTCACTTTATTAGACTATGCTCATCACAGTCTAGTCTATATTCAAAATTTAATATATAAACCAGAAAAAAGGAGAAACCTTTTTTTTTTATAATTTAAAATTAACTAACAAATACATTATCACTTGTTAGTTAAATTAAATAAAAATTATGCCTAAATCAATGCATACAAGTATAATTCGAAACGAAGTAAATGATATTAAACCAATTTTCCCTCCTATTTTGACAGAAGATGAACTCATTAAGAATGCTATTAAATCCAATTCATCCAACAACAAAGCTAAAACACTTCCGAACGCCTTTATCGCGTACAGAATGGCTTTACAAAAGGAATATCATAATAAAAATATCAAGTTACCTCCAATGAATCAATTATCAATAATAGCAAAAAATGCTTGGGAAAAAGAACCGAAAGAAGTAAAAAAATTTTACAAAAATCTAACTGAGGAAGCTAGGTCTCTGTATAATCAAAAAACTCTTCAAATCGTATTTGATAAACACATGAATGAAGTTGAACATGATCAAGGAAGAGGGCAATTTTCGCCTCTACATGTGAAGGATGTAACTTTTGAAGCAGATACGGGTTATTTCTATAATACCCAAAATAGAAACGTTGAGAATATGATCCATACGCGACATTCATCCAGTGGATTTTTTACGATTGAAGACTCTACTGTCGGTACTATAGATCCATGTTCTGGTAACGGGTCAACTAGCATTTCTCAAGTTGGAACTTATCCCAAACATAACTTTTTAGAAAATCCTAACAATCAAGAGTATAAGCAAATGCTGGTGCAAATTAGTTTCAATTTATTTATACACGAATTACGTCAAAATTATGATTTTTAAACTGATATACGTATGAATATTTAATTCAATTTTTTTTTTATTAATAAATAATGCTATTTTAAATTAAATCAAAATTAAAATTACGTGTCAGTAAAACAAACATTTTATTAGTATGATGCAAAATTAACTATTATAATATGTGACGTTTGCCATTAAAATCATGTTACAATCATTAATAGCAAACCTCCCTATTTGAAACCTTTAAATTTAAGTCATTTTCTTTATATGGCAAAGAAATTTATCATATATATATATATATTTTTGTAAATTATAACGCGGTGTGGTACAACATAAAATTTTAGTTTGCTTCATCTATTATCATTACAATTATGATATAATAACGGCACCAGTTTAAATAGCTCTCATAAAGCAATTCAAAGATTTCTTAATCAAGCTCTTAAGTTTATTTCGGTTCAGTTCGATTTTATAACATCTAGCCTGCTCGAATTATTAAATAGAGTTCAGAAAGAAATGCTTTTAGGTTATTTCTTCAATGAGTAATGTTCTTGAGATGATTCTCTTCTGTAGACGTTCCTCATAAAGGTAAATGTCCTAAGAACGTCTCATTACGATACGATTCCAGAAAAATCTTAGACTCGAATTCTATCATAATCTATAAATAATTATCAAGATGAAATGGTTAATTGCTAGGTATTGGAACTTTTTAACAAAATTGAGATTTTTATTGCATTTAGACTAAATCATAAAACATATTTACCTAGCATTCATCACAAATACAAAGTTTATTTTTTATTTTAACAAAACTTTCAAAATAAACTACTTGCCATTATCTTAAGTGAACTTTGACCCGTTCACTACTAGATAGTCGGTAAGCATAAAAAATTATATTTTTTTAAAAAATTTATTGCCAGTTTTTAAAGTCTTCCTAGTTTAATGTTCAACAAATTCGGTACTTATTATCTGGAACGAAAAATTCAAAAATTATGGTAAACCATATAAACCATATTTGGTAAATGGTGTAACAATAGAGAAATTACTTATAAAAACGACACATTCGTATCATGTGCTGTATTATTTCGCTTATAAAAAATAAATAAATTACTTACTTCTAAGATTTCGTTGATTTCATTTCATAATTTGTCAAGTCTTCTAACTTTTATAAAATCGCAAGAATACTTCACTCTTTATTAATATACGTAATTATATAAATTTAATATGAAAAAATTAATCCATTAAAAAAATCTTAATGAGTAAATTATTAGGTAATGTTAATCAGAGATTTCATAAATCGATTAAGAAAAATCATTTTACTAAGAAGAAATAGAATTGAAATAAGGTTAAGAAAGAAAATAGATGAAATATTTTTGGATCTATAGTTTAGAAGACGGCATAATATTTGAATTTGTTATTTAACAAACCTACGTCACTATTATCGATGAATGGTCAGTCAATACTTTCATATTAGATGTAACAACTATTGTGTCGATTCAAGTAAATCAAACAAATTGTTATTCAGTCTTTCCAACAAACTAATATGCCTTTGATAACAAGCGATTAAATTCATTTCGTTATAATAAGGATTAGTACTAGAACTAATACCAGAAGAATTCTTAGCGCTAACGGTAGAATCCTCAAAGAGAAAGAACCCTATTACTTTCTAAGTCACCCGTTGCAATCTGACTGTTGCTCATATGTCTATCAAATACGAATTGAACTGTTTTATTCTCCATGTAGAGGGATTTGGCATCCTTAGCTAGTTTATTATAAAAGTCTTTTACATTTTCTGTTTCCTTATTCCAAGTATTTTTTGCAATTTGAGGAAATGCGACCCACAGGAGGTAATTTAATATTTTTTTTACGATATACTTTAATTAACGCCATTATATACGCTGTTAAGCTTAAACTGTTCGTCGTTAAGTTAACAATTTTTATTTGCTAACAGGGAGTTTAATTACGTCTAAACTATGAAAGAAATATACACGAGTTTAATTAATTGAAGGGTCAGATCGTCTTTATTGATATTTATATTTTGAAGATAATTAGTTAATTCTTAGTTTATTTACAAATCTCTATCTTAAGTTATCTTTTAACTCAAGGGAAAATACATGCTATTTATATAAGATAAACTAATAGTAATATAATTATAAATATGTCCAATATAATAAATAAGATAAATATAATAAATAATATATAATTAATAAATATAACAAATATGACAAATCTAACAAATAAGATAAATATGATAAATATGATAGATCGGTCAAATATGATCAATTGGTCATATTTGTCAACTAAGTCAATTAATAATTTGTAGATCAATTTTGATGATCTTTTAATAATGTAAATTTTGCAGCTAACAACGCGATAAAAGCTTTGGTGGTGGTATTGTTTGACTGCTGTTATGTATGTTGGATTTAGTAATATTTTGATGAGATCGTTTGACGTTAAATCTGGAGGGAAAGTCGGTTTGATATCAGTGCAAACATTTTTAATAGCAGTTCTTCTATTCAACACGGCACTTTTTAAATCCATATTTTATTACTAACACGTTTGTTTTTTCGTCGATTTAAATTTATAAATAATAATGGATTAAACTTTAAAAAAAGGTTCTTTTTTTTTATAAACAATAATTTTAATATTTATAATAAATTAAAATAAAAAAAGGGTGCAACCTTTTTATCCGAAGAAATGACATAAAAATCGTTGATATGCATGACTGTTGATACGAAAATCATTTCCTATAATGAGTTGATCCTTACTTTTTTTTGACGACGACCGTGATTATGTAATTATGCTGTAAAATTTATAAGTAAAGGACAAATATATCAGTTAAAATTGTTTTTGTATTTATTTTTAATAAATCTGCACAGATACTATTAAAATTTTTGGGTTTTTCAAAAATATATATTTTTTAATTCGAGAATATGATAAATTTTAAGATTCACGGATAAAAAATCACGCTTTATGAGTTTAATATAAAAAAATTATTTGTTACGCCTCAAGAAAAGTTTTAAAACTCATAACAAGTTACGGCATGTCTCAAAATAACCCGATTAAATTGCTATCGTTCCAAAATCTAACATTCCTCTCGATAGTTTAATAAAAAAAATTTTGGATGATAGCTGCTAGTGAAACTTCTATAAGGAAATTATGTATAAGAATGGACATCGAAAGTATGATCTTTAATAGCAAGGTTATCCTTTATTTTGTACACTGTTTACATTTTTTAAGACGGTTTCTTGATATAATTAATATTTGAATAATAAGTTTCACCTAGGTAATCTTGGCTGTTTGGTTATATTATCTTTTTATTCATGTTGAATCAGCTCGTGATTTGCCTATGCAAAGTTTAGAACTCGAAATTTTACAAAATTGACCCATTTGAGTTCTCGTTACGATATTCTTGATATTTGTGAATTTAATGCCATTCATTCTATAAGCGATTAAATTTTGGAAATGTTTATCTAGTTTATTAAGTATTTGGATTTAATAGCATTATAGGAGGGATTGATGAGAATAATACTAGGGAACGGGAACCGTTGGACAAGTCCGGAGCGAAATTTAACCAATAAAAAGACAGATCAAATTCATTATAGTATTTAATTAAATTAAAATTTTATACTATTTAATTTATTTAAGTGACAGATTAATTTATTTTTGAGTTTAATTAATACTATTTTAGATGATGTAAAAAAAAGCATATGTAAAAAAGTATATATTTTTTTTAATAAATAAAGTATTAAATAATTTAATCATAAAATCCAAGGGCTCACGCTGGCAAAGGCAAATATAGATATAGGAAGCAAAGAATTCGCAGCAGGTCTTTCGTTCGTCGCAATTTCACAAGTTCGCTCACTACTTCAAGCAGTTCACTTTCGATCGTCTTCAGCGCATAAAAAACAGTAGAAGACTACACGAAAGGAAGGAAGAGAAAGCGCGTTTACTCTGACGGGTACCTTAATAGCAAATTTGGGCTTTTATTTTAGTACACGATCATGGAAGTCGCAAAAAATAAAAAAAATAAAAAAAAGGACAAATATATTTTTAAAAATAATCATATTTATTCTGTTTTCGCGAAAATCTTATTATTATTAGTTACATATAATAAAAGTGAGAAAATAAAAAAAAATTAAAAAAAAGAATTTTTTTCGGTGTGAATAAATGCATTATTTGTTAAATATTACTTTTCCTCTCACTTTTGAAATCTGGAAATTTTATTATGTCTGTCTTATTCCAAAAAGACAAAAAAATGAATTGTTACTTATAGATCGGTACTAGGTTGCATAAACTTAATAACTATATAGGGGACATTCAAAATATTATTAATTTGTGATGCTGCCATCAGTTTTATGATTTAATTTAGTTGGTCAAGGCATATGATGAATAAAGTGGTTTGTATAAATTTATTTTGTTCAATAAATCTCAAATCTTATTTAAATTTCATAGAATTCAATTCTTATTTCATAGAATGTTATGTTAAAGATGCTGAATTATTGGTCATAGTTATTAGCAATCCATATCATATAATTAAAAATTGTTTTTTTCCTTATTTCATAACGAATCTCTAATTTAATGTAATTTTAACGTAATTTGATATTTTAAAAATCTGTTTAAATTACTTAGATATCTTAAATTGTCTCACTCGTAATTGGGTCGTATTTGGAACTTTTTTTTTTTGAATTGTATTCGTCTTTCTTTTCGTTGGTTAAAATTGAATTATTGAGATTCAATCAACCGTTTTAAGGAATATAATCGCTTACAAATTTCAATAAAATTATTTATCAAAGGAAAGGTATTATTAAAAAATAATTATCAATAATTGTAAACGGTAAATTTTATCATAAAGATTTTAAGCGGCGTAGTAAAATCATGTGACTCCTCAATATTTATAAAGAAATCTAACTTATTAGGCTGACTTTAACTTTAACACTAAATCTACCAGTAAGCTACCTCACGAATATTTGTCTACTATAATGTAATTTCAAAGAGTAGTATTTTTTTTTAATAATAATAATCTTTACCCTGCTTAAACCTCACCTAAGGAAACACAAAATCAATTTTTCGACATAGAAATTTTAAATCGATTCAGTAACCTGGATATTGTCTTATATTAAAAAATTTTATATCAGCAACAGTAAAATAATAAATAAATTAGGTATAACGCATCGTAACGTTTACAATACTCTGATAATTTACATAAATATTCTGGAAATTAAAAGGGACGAATTTAATCATTTTTAACTACTAAAAATAAAAATTATATCTCAATTTCAATGGAAGCAGATGTATGAATATTTTAAAATAATTTCAACAGGAATTTTTATTTTACATTATCACTTTTTTTTAAAAAAAAATAAAGATTGAATTTAAAGGAAAAATGATCTATAAAATATTACCTTTTAATAAATAGAATATTTGTTATAACTAAAACAAGTGCTCCGTAAGGGTCGGGTCGGGTCGGGTTTGAAGCATATTCGTACTCGAACCCGTTAATATTTACAGGACCCGAATTCGACTCGACCCGATCATTGTTCGACCCGACCTGATGATTGTTTAACTCGGATTCGACCCGAATTTTTAAGGGTAATATTTATACCGAAAAATTGTTTATTTATACAGATAATGTAAAATACATTAAATTTATAAGTTTATGGTTTTGTAGTTCTTTGGTAGTACATTAATTTAAATTATTTTTTTGAATATATTATTGTCAGGAATTGGTACACATACACGCGCGAATTGTATCGGCTTTAAGACACATTTAAACTCGTTCAACATGGACATTCGTTGCATTATTAAAATAATTTCATTTTTATTTGGATTATGATCCTATAAATAACACCAAAATATTTGTTGCATTTGAATCACCAATATTGCGACGCCATATTTTATCCTATAAAATCTCTTAAAAATAAAAATAATAATAATAACCCACAATATATACTCTATTAAAAATACATAAGAGCAATTGACATCTAACTTCACGATTTATTTGAATTTTTATTGAAAAGTTCTTTGGCAAAAAAGCTCATTTCACAATGCTTTTCGTTTTCCAAAAGAAGCTATGTTGCCGGAATTAGTAAGTCAATAGTTTCGCTCATTATTTAAATTGTAGTCATTTATATCATTTAATCACATCACCTGATCGTTCGGGTCACCCGGGTCAAGCAAATTCGTGACACTAACCCGACGGGTATTAAGAAATTAGGACTCGCGACATAAAATGTTAGTCCCGACTTGAATTTTTTCTCGAGTCGGGTCAAATGACCCGGGTCGATTCGACCGGCTCAGAGCACTACCTAAAACTATAATTAAAAAAAAATAATAAACTCGACGAGGCAGTAATAGTTGAAATCTTTTAATAATTCCAAGTGTGTTTGACTGCGCCCAGATTTGTTTGGGGTTTTTGACGATCAATATACTGGCGGTTCTATTGGAATTGACTTTTAGGAGTATGGAAAATATATGTCAAAATGACCACTTTTGACATAAGGGATCTATTAATTAGCATTTCCGTCATCCAAGCCACAAACCTACCGATATTTTTAAAGAATGCCGAAATAAAGCCATAGGAATGTATCGTTTCGATCTTAGTTTATGATAGGATTTAAAATTTTTAATTATTCCCCTTTAGTATTACAGAGCGCTGCAGAGGCAGTAATAGTTGCATTTATTATATTCATATACTTTTAATTAATAAATTTATTTTCTTTATTTATTTCAATAAAATTTATTTAATATTTAAAAATTGCTTTATATTTATATTTCATTACATTACTATCGTATTTAATAAACAAATAAATTCGATTAATTACCTCTCTTACAAAAATAGGAGGTAACCCTAGCACATCCGATACACAACTTTAAATCGCTTTATATCTATAATATGTTAACAACCAGAACATAATTTTCATGATATACCATTGTACCTATCGATTCAATGTGGGAACATTTGGTCTCGGTCAAAATTCTTCTAACGTTGAGGAGTTTGGAGGTGTTCGGTTAACTAGTGACACTCAGTTAAAATAATTATATCCGTATTGCAAATTATTAAAAGGTTTGAGGCCCAAATGTTGCTAAGTTGATCCGTTGTTTCTTAAGAATGTTTGTAATTCAAAAAAAATGCCCTGACAGATACTAAAGCTTGCACCTTGACGAAGCATTTCAAAGGCTAAAGTCAATTATCGCATGTTTTTCTATGTATCGATTTTCCGAAGCTGTTGATGCTGCACTAAAAAAAACTTGATTTTCAAATATGAATCTTTGAAATGAAAAGACAAATTATCGTTAATTATATCCTTTCCAAAATTGCCTCGTCCTTAATAGTAATTATTAATGTTCCCTAGGATATATTTTTTATTCAGTCCTTTTGTCAAACAGATACTTTTTAGCTTGATAGGTTCATATTTAATGTACTATTTTTTTTATCGTTATTTTCAGACTTTGTTGTATTACTTTGAAGGAAGTATAAATATTTCATAAAAAGTAAAAAAGAAATTAATAACAAAATAAAATAACTCGTGTTTCGGGCTAAACCACTTTTCCAAATCCAGAAACTCAAATAAATCTCAAACCATCCAATATTGTCCATAAATACTAAAAGGTTAATATTTCGTTCCACTAACACTACGCAATTTACAAATATAATCTAAATCGTCAAATAAAAAATTTAATACTAGGTCTTGCAAAAAAAATTATCTATTCTGTAAGCTATTACTCTATAATGTAAATTACAAAGTACATGCATGATAAAATTCCGGGCGACATTACCTATAAAAGGAAAAATCTACGTAAATCTTCAAACGAATAATCTAAATCGCTTTCTTCTATTTTTTTTGTTACGATAAATAAATATTATTTCTTTAAAGTCAGAAGGATTTTCTTGTGTATATTTTATTCTGTATATTTTTTCACATTATTAATTCGCAACTTTAAATGTTTTATTTATTATAAATTTAATTACTTGTTTTCTATTCTCGAAAATTAATTTATTTAATCATATAATTGGGGATTTTCGGGTATGATTTAGTTTCGGAATAAATTGGGCAATATATGAAGGGTTCGGAGTTTCGGAGAATTACATCCACAGGCAAAACCTATTTCGGACAGTTTCGATTTCGGATTTTGGCGAAAGGTTGAGGTAATTAACTTGGTAGTTCGTAGGACAATTTATAACAATTTGTCTATTAAATTGTGGAGTTTGATTTACAGACTTTCCTTCTAAATAAGGATCTCGCTATTGTCGGAATTTGTGGCTGAGGTGCATGCATCAATATTATTTAATTATCCTTGAAATTTTTTTTTTATTGTATTCCTCTTAAAAATTATAACATGGAAACTGAAAATTGTAAGCTATACTATTTATATTAAATGCATGTGAAATAAAACTCAACTAAATATTCATTACAGGGCGTAAGTTATTTTTTATTATCACCGCGGGCGATATAATCGCTGATGAAAATCAATTAATTATTATTACACTGAATTGATTTTTTATTTAACCTTTATCAAAGTCGATATTACAGATAGTAAGTTATTTATTAAAATATATCTTGACTTATAAGTTGTTACATAGATTCTTCAGTAATTCACAATATTTATTATTCATTCCTCTGCTGTAATTTTTTATATGTTAATCTAAATTAAAATAAATTTCTAAATTTGTTTAACAATTATTCAATTCGACAGATGGTAAGTTACTTTATTAGAACATTAACTGCATGTTTTACATAATATAAACCAAATTAAAATTTTATTTAATATGACAGAAAAATAATGTCGCACAATATGATTTAGCCAAACGTTACCAAAATGGATGGGAAATTGAGAAGAATTTAGAAAAGGCATTCGACTTTTATCAAAAGTCAGCTGATCAAAATAATAGCAGTGCGCAATATGATTTAGCTGGATGTTATTATTATGGACGGGGAATTGAAAAGAAGAAAAAGCATTTTATTGTATCAAAAATCAGCTAATCAAAATTATAGTGATGCACAATTTTATTTAGGATATTTTTATGAAAATGGATGGTGAATTGAAAAGAATTTAGAGAAAGCATTTTATTGGTATCAAAAATCAGCTGATCAAAATAATAGCGAAGCACAAATTATTTTAGGATATTTTTATCAAAATGGTATGGGAATTGAAAAGAATCTAGAGAAAGCATTTTATTGGTATCAAAAATCAGCTGATCAAAATTATAGTTATGCACAAAATAATTTAGCAATTTGTTATGAAAATGGAGAGGGTATTGAAATAGATTTAGAAAAATCATTTTATTGGTATCAAAAATTAGCTGATCAAAATAATGCTACAGCACAATATAATTTAGGTGATTATTATTATTATGGAAAAGGTATTAAAAAAGATTTGAATAAAGCATTTGGATGGTATAAAAAATCAGCTGAACAAAATTTAAATATTGCACAAAATGATTTAGGATATTTTTATGAAAAAGGTATAGAAATTGAAAAAAACTTAAAAAAAATCAGCAGAAAACGAAAATGAATTTGCTCAATATAATTTAGGATTTTATTATGAAGAAGGAAAATTTATTAGAAAAAACTTAAAAAAAGCATTTTATTGGTACCAAAAATCAGCTGTAAATAAAAATAAAGATGCTTAATATAATCTAATCAAATGTTATTTAAATGGAATAGGAATTAATAAAGATTTAGAAAAAGCATATAAATGGCATCAAAGATTTGTAAAAAATGAAAATAAGTCTAAAAGAAGTTTTGGAAAATATGAAGCTAATGGTCAAAATATTAATGAAAATATTGCTGCAATTGAATTTATTAATAAATCCTTAAAATATCAAGTTAAATTTATATCTTTTAATGAATTCACTGATTTAAAGGAGGATTTGGTAGTATTACAAAAGCAACTTGGTTAAAAACAAGCGATTTTATTGTATTTAAAAGACTAATAAATACAAATAATATTAATCATCATGCTTTTATTTATGAATTAAAAATTCATTTATATCTTAATTATTGTAATCATATAATATATTGCTTAGGTATTAGTTTAGGTAAATTTTTAATTACTAAATAATTTATATTAATTGTTACTTTTTAAAAAAATAATTATTTATTAATTTATAATTTATAGATTCAATATCAAATGAATATCTTCTTATAATGCAATATGCTAATGGTTGTTATTTACAAAATTATCTTAAAAATAATTTTAATAATTTAAATTGGAATGATAAAAACAAATTGGCATTTCAAATTGCAAATGGATTAAATTACTTACATAATGAAGATGTTTTACATAGAGATCTTGTAAGTATTACTTTTATTTATTTGAATAATTTATAATATAGATTTTAGAAATTTATTTTAAAATTTTATAATTTATTTAGCATTCTAAAAATATACTTATTCATAATAATGATGCTAAAATTTCAGATTTTGGTATTTCAAAAGTTGGAAATAGTTCTACTAGACATATTGGACCTTGTGATAAAACTGCTTACATAAATCCACAAATACTTAAAAATCCTAACTTTCAATATATTAAGCCTTCAGATATTTATAGTTTTAGAATTCTAATGTGGGAAATTTCTAGTGGATATTTTCTATTTAAAGCTTTAAATGATACTACTATTTGTGTTGCTATTGTTAATAATAATGCTCGTAAAATTACTATACCAGATACTCCTAAGAATTATGAAAAACTATATAAAAAATGTTGGGATCAAGAACCTAAGCAAAGACCTACTATTACAGAAATATTGGTTGAATTCTCAAGGATGAGTTTTATTAATAAACCGATTAAAGGTAGATATATTAAAGTAATAATTATTGATTTTTTATAAGCTATAATTTATATTAATTTATTTACATTTAATTAAATGAAGTTAATTGCAATATGTTTGAATTGATTAATAACAAGTTAAATAATAAAATTAAAGTCATACCTTTTGATAATTTAATTGATTTGAAATCACTTGATAAAAGTGGATTTGGAAGTATTTTAAAAGCTACTTGGTCAAAAACAAATGATTATATAATATGTAAAAAATTAACTAATACAAGTATATTTAAATGTGATAATGATAAATTAAGCGCATTTATTTATGAGTTAAAAATACATTTACATCTTAATCAAAGTAATCGAATTGTACGTTTTTTAGGTATAAGCCAAGGTAATTAATTAAATAAACTTAATATTTTTAAGTGTTTTTTATTTATATTTAATTTATTTTTAGATCTAAAGTCAAGTGAATTCTATTCAATAATAGAATATGCAAATGGTAGTAACCTTTAAACTTATCTAGAAAATAATTTTAAAAAATTAACTTGGAATGATAAAAAACAATTCGCTTATCAAATTGCAGATGGGTTAAATTATTTGCATAATGAAAATGTATTACACAGAGATCTTGTAAATATTTATTTGTTATTATTTCATTTGTTAAATTTTATGTAATATTATTTTTATTAATTATATTCTTTCATTTAGCATTCTAAAAATATAGTTATTCATGAAAATAATGCTAAAATTACAGATTTTAGTATTTCAAAATTTGAAAATAATTCTACAATGCATATTGGAATTTTTGGTAAAACTACTTATATGGAACCACAAATACTTGCTAATCAAAACTTTGTATATATTAAAGCTTCAGATATTTATAGTTTGGGTATATTGATGTGGGAAATTTCTAGTGGACATTCTCCTTTTGAAGATAAATTTCATAATAATCAAGATCTTATCATTGCTATTATTTGTCATAAAACTCGTGAAATTTCTATAGCAAATACACCTGAGGATTATAAAAAACTATATAAAAAATGTTGGAAATAAGATCCTGAGCAAAGGCCAATTATTAAAGAAGTATTAAACAATTTTTATAAGATAGGCTTTGGAAAAAAATATTGATGATGATAAAATAACCAAAAGTAAATATTATGTTAAAGTTTTTATAATTATATTATTTTACTTATATTTTTTCAAATTTATAAACTATAAAAAAAAAGAGAATAATTCTGATTCAGATTCAAAAATTGGTGATTCCATTCAGTTATATATTTTTGAGAATTTATCTAGTAAGTTTTCCTATTTAAATATTGATCTCATAAATTATAAGATTTATTCAAAATTTGTTTCATTTAATTTTTGTAACAAATTATGAATAAATCTATTTAATTTAGTTTTTCATTTTAAAAAGTTTAAACATATATATTGAGGTTTATAACTACGTATTAAGGTTTATAACTGAGACAACTTTAATCTTTAATAAGTTTAATTTTTTTCAATAAAGAATAATATATAAATACAATAATGACTTTTACTTTTTTTTTTGTTTTTATAAATGTATTCTGCAAAAAATATTTATTAAACAGAATTTGATATTTATTACAAAAAAGAAAATAAAGCCTTATTGCATTTTATTAGTTTGTTATAATTGGCTATTCTGATAATTAACAAATTTATTAAGAATACTGAAAAAAAATTTAAAACATTTATTTTATTACTAAAATAAAATTTAGAAGTTTGATATTAATAATTTACTTATTTTTATGTCTAAATACTATCTTTTTACAAAATTATCGAGATTTTTTAGAATTATAAGTATGATCAATATAATGCAATTTGCAAACATATAGAAGATATATATAATTTGCATATAACGCTATAATACTTTAAAATTATTCATATTGTTATTATCCAAAGCGTATTATATAGATGACTCTAACAGTCTAATTACGATTCTACAAGTCAAAACAGTCGAAGCTCTGATAAAAAAATTATTTACTTTTAATAAATCAGATTATTAAAATAATAAATTTTATATAAATTTATCATCATATAACAATTATTAAATATTTTTTATTGATTAAAATTGTTTTTTTAATTCATATTTATTCATTTTTTTAACAATTTACTTAATAATTATTTATCAAGCAAGAAAATTATTTAGAATTTTTTTTGATAATTATCATTTTATTTAAAATTTGCCATTACAAAATTACTATTTAGAGAAGATATGATTTTGTTACAATATATTTTTGATGATCTATTCTTTATTTATTCAGTTTTTCACTTATTTTATATAATTAATTATACAGATCTTCATCAAACTATGTATATGTGAGTAATGCATCTCGTGTAATTAAATTTGAAGTTTATATAGTTATAGCTATTACTATGCCATCACTATAAGCTTTTATATTATCATTAGAATAAATTTGTGATTTAAAAATTTTTTGAGCTACTTTTAAAATACATTAAATTTAACCATCATGTAATATATTTGAATTTTGCAAAAATTTTCATTTCGTTGATCTTTATAGATCATTTGCATTTATTATTTTATTTTCAATTCAAATAATAAAAAATAAAATAAAAAAAATAATTTCATTTCGTTTGATTTTTTATATTACATTAAATTTTTAATTGATCACTTGTTTTTGTGTTATAATGAGATTATGAAAAAAATTCTATTTCTTTATTTTTCTTTTTTGTAATAGTACATTATACTAATTTATTTATTTCTTTTTAAAGAATTCTTACACAATATTTGTTGTGTTATGCATTTTTGTTATATTATATCATATATATTTATTTATATTTTTATTTTTTTATATTATATCAAATTATTATTAATTTTTATTTTCATAAAAATATAAATTTATAAACTTTTTCTTTTATTATATTTTTATTTTTATATTATCTTAATTTATTTGTAATGGTATATTTATAATTATTTTTTCTATTTGAAGATTTTTACATGATATTTTATATGTATTTTTTTGTTAAATTATATGTTACATTGTATTGTATTTTTATCATTTGTATTATTTTTAAAAAAATCATTCATTTATTTGTAATTTGTCTTGCATATTTCTTTTTTTTTTGAAAAATAATTTTTCACTTTTTTGTATTAGTTTACAATCACGTGCTTATATTCAGATCATAAATAATATTAAATTTATGAAAAATAAAAAAAATTTTGCATAAACAAATGAATAATTAAAAAAGATTTTTTTTCGAAAATCTAAAAAGCAGATTATTGATCTAATTTTTTTTTAAAATCTAAAAAACAAATTATTAATCTAATTTTTTTCTTTAAAAAAAAAAGTAAAATATATTTGTTAATTTTTTTATTTTTTAAAATTAAAAAAAAAATTTAAAATCAAATACTCATAATATTAAAAAACGCATATTTTAAGTTTTAAAAAAAAACTATTCTACAATCTTATACATTTCAAAATATAAAGAAAAGATTTCAAGTGGTTATTTTGTGAAAATCGCTGTTTATAGTTGCTTGACGAAACCTCAGGGTATTGACAATTGTCGAAAGTCGAAACCTATTTAGACGTTTTGACATTTTATTTTTAAAAGTCGAAACTGTCGAAAGGTTTAGACAATGTCAAAAGGTTTAAATAATGTTGAAAGGTTTAGACATTGTTGAAAGTATAGTTGCTTACCATAACCTTAGAATTTTAATAA